TATAGTGACCTTGTGCTGTGGAGTATAGTACCACTGTTCTGTAGAGTATAGTGACCTTGTGCTGTGGAGTATAGTACCACTGTTCTGTAGAGTATAGTGACTTTGTGCTGTGGAGTATAGTACCACTGTTCTGTAGAGTATAGTGACCTTGTGCTGTGGAGTATAGTGCCTCTGTTCTGTAGAGTATAGTGACCTTGTGCTGTGGAGTATAGTGCCTCTGTTCTGTAGAGTATAGTGACCTTGTGCTGTGGAGTATAGTGCCTCTGTTTTGTAGAGTATAGTGATTTTGTGCTGTGGAGTATAGTACCTCTGTTCTGTAGAGTATAGTGACTTTGTGCTGTGGAGCATAGTACCACTGTTCTGTAGAGTATAGTGACTTTGTGCTGTGGAGTATAGTGTCTCTGTTTTGTAAGAGTATAGTTTGAAGATGATTCTTGATCTTAGAAAGAAATATTTCACAGCTAGTTTAGGCCCAAAACATAAAAAAAAAATAACTAACTGGCTTCTTTTGATGCAAACTATGTCGCATAATCTCTTTAATTAACGATTCACTGCTTAGTTGTTTCTTTATGGTTATCGAAATACCTTTTTCGTAGTATTGTCTTGTCTTGTATCTTATAATGGTTATAAAAATCCTGTATTATCGCAATTACCTTCTGAATTTTCTATTAATTCATTATGACTGGTAATTTTTCTAGTCAAAAGGTAGAGTTATTTGTAATAGATAAATGGTGTTATAGATTGTTTCACATATTTTCTTAAACTCAAAGAAAAAACATAATCCTTATGTTTAGAAACTAAAGTATGTATATTCAACTGATAGAAGTGAAGGGTGAATTGTACGAATTTTATTTTCGAAAAGGTATACATGTCATTGGTGTAATTTTAAAACTTGTTTACAGAACAGTTCAAACTTTCATGCTGTAAATTTATAAAACATTTGTAGCGGTACTCAAGTATACACCTATTTTTGAAGAACAAACATTTCGCTACCGTATATGTGTAACTGTATGCCTTAACAGATAATAGGTATAGAGACACAAGATATTTTCACTACAACCAAGAAAATTTGATATAACTGAAACAATATCCCTTAGTATGGAAAACTAAGAGAAACGAATTTTTGTACAAAACGTATAGTTAGGTAAATAACTGCTTTCTCTTCTATAAATTACAAGATATGACTACTTTTAGAAATATATAATTTTTCATTTATTTCTGGTTCATGATCTTAAGAGCAAACTTTTTCAAAGTAAAAAATTACACCAGTAGATGATGTTATCTTCTGGAAAACTAAACTTCACAGTCTAATGATTTTTTGAAAAAAACGTGAATTCAAACATTGATCGGTAACGGTAATTAAAACTTTATGCAGAAAATATATTCATTATGTTAAACACGTTTAAGTCAAAGTGATAACTCATTTCTACTTATAAGTCAAAATGCTATGCTTTTAAGAAGAGTTCTAGGCAAAGAAGATTTTATTGGATAAAAGCATCTCTTTAAGAGAAGGAGTGGATGGCATTTGGGACTTTTTTGCTGCTACTCCAAGAAGATGCAGGCCATAAAAACTTCAAATCTATCAATGCTACTTTAACAAATCTTGTAAAATAAAAATCGGTAAAAATTACCTAAATAAAGCAATAATTATAATTAGCAGTTGATTTTATGCACACTAATATCATAAGCCTTGATATAACTGTTTGTTTGTTTTGAATTTCGCGCAAAGCTACACGAGGGCTATCTGCGCTAGCCGTCCCTAATTTAGCAGTGTAAGACTAGTGGGACGGCAGCTAGTCAACACCACACACCGCCAACTCTTGGGCTACTCTTTTACTAATGAATAGTGGGATTGACCACCACATTCTAATGCTCGCACAGCTGAAAGGACGAGCATGTTTGGTGGGATGGGGAATCGCACCCGCGACCCTGAGATTGTGAGTCGAGCATCTTAACCACCTGGCCATGCTGGGTCCATCAATATAACTTATTTGTAAACTACAACAAAATAAATCTTATCTGATTTAACCACTTTTTCTTTCATAAAAGCTAATATGATGCTGAATGAATCAGTTCTTTTTATATATACAATTTAAGTCAAATACAAATTCAAAGAATTTTGAATTAATTAGTAACTGTATATTTTACAAATGTTCTAATACCGAGATATTAAAAAAAGAAAAACCTTTTCATAAATTAAATGAACATAAATGAGCTGGATAAATCTTTTATATGGCCAAAATACATGGTATAAATAGGAATAAGTTTCGTAATTTTTGATGGAAGAAACTTTTTAATTGACCGTCACTCTTATAACGTATCCACAGTTGAAAGTGTGGAGAATTTTCAGCAGTTTCGCAGTGCGAACCTTGGACCTTCTGGTCCAATATCCAACATGCTAACCACTAGGCCCAAGAATGATCATGAGATTCTTCACAAAGTTTTTATCACTGATGACATCTACTTGGGTGGCACATCTTACGTTACCCCAGGGTAAATGGGCGCCATTTTCAAAATTCATAAAGTTGGCACTGTAAGATTGTTTTCTGAAAGGTTGAGCTTAAAACATCATGAGCTACGATTTCCTGAAAATAAGATCAAAAATTTTCACTAATGCTTATTTCTAAAGGCTATTCGGATGACCTAGCTTTTGAAAGATATTAAATTCTGGAGAAATTCTAATATATGTAATATCTCATTAGAAATAACTCACTGTATTCTGCTAATTTAGAAGTTGTACGTTTATGGACGTACAGAGCCAAAAATGAAAATTATGAAATTACAGTAATAATGTTTATGATGATCAAATGATTTATCACCAGGCTGTGAATGTATGAGTAAAGAAAGAACATTTCTTACTAACTACTAACGTTTTTACATTCTCACATATACTCTGAAATGCATGCAATCTACATTTGCAGTGAATGCTAATCTTCACACACTCATTCCATTATATTTATATCTGGAAGTAATAATATCAGAGGAAGTAATCATGATTTCCAACAAAGAATTTTGTCTTATGGTTTTCTAATCAAACCCAGTTTAAGAACATATCATAAAACATAAGCATTACCTAGAATTAGGAACTTATTATAAAACAATAGTTAATAATATCTAACAACACAAAAACTTGTTTTTTATAATTTATTTATTTTGTCAAAAATAACAGATAAATAACAAACGTATACATATGTATACATGGAAAAGAAAATATTAGATTTATTTGCTGATATCAGCTAGTCATGAATACCTAATGTGAGCTTCATATACCCTAATGTGAGCTTCATATGCTTCTTATTACTTACATCAGCTAGTCATGAATATAAGAAGCATATGAAGTTCACATTAGGTATTCTTGACTAGCTGATGTAATAAGAAGCATATGAAGCTCACATTAGGTATTCATGACTAGCTGCTAACTGCGGTTTCAAGCTATATTATCTTAGCTAGGTGTAGAAAAGGAAATGTTACCCAACAAAGCTTCATATGATTTGGAGTAGAGAATATTGCTTGGAGTAAGTTTTTGTTATGATTATACATTAAACTTACTCAAACTAAATCACCTGTCGTTTGTCTCACTTACTGGTCATAAATATTCACAAACACAACGAACTAGAGATCGAGACAGAGATAACAATCATACGAGTAACAATCTGAAGAATTACCATAATAAGGAACTGCTAATAATAAGTTGAAATATTATATATTTAACAAAGTTACATATCAGAATAGAACTTCTAATTCTAAGCTATCAGAGGTAGCTATGAAATGTTTTTCCTAATACTGGATGTAAAGATTTGAGCTGATTGTTAAATCTCCAATGGCTATTTTCAAGTTGCTAACAGTAAAAAAGTGAAAAAGAGTCATAACAATTATATACATGCTCAGTATATGAGCTAAGAAGTTATATATATATATATATATTACCACTATTAACAATTTCCATGATATAGATCGAGTATTATATTAAAATACAACTTGCAAACACTATACTAGTGGTTAAATTTCCGACTCATGATTTCCAACAAAGAATTTTGTCTTATGGTTTTCTAATCAAACCCAGTTTAAGAACATATCATAAAACATAAGCATTACCTAGAATTAAGAACTTATTATACAACAATAGTTAATAATATCTAACAACACAAAAACTTGTTTTTATAATTTAT